GTTGTAGATCTTTTCGAGATCAAAATTGCGCAAATATGCAGGCGACTATAATTTTATAAAACTTATGTGTTTTTTTATTTTAAATTCATTGACGTATTTGGATATGACCACAAGGCAAAAGTTGTTCAGTATATTTTTCTGCATATTTTGTTTTTTTGCAGAATTTATTGAAGTTTTTTTTTTTTTTTTTCATGGCCACGCATGGCCGCCTCCGGGGAGGATTCATAGTCTGGCGTGTGTCAATTACTTTGGCGAGCGTGTCGTGTGCCAAGTCACAAGACCTTTACATCAATTATATCCAGCATGGTGAGTGCGGCAACGGACAGGGATCTTGTGGACAGAGTACTATGGGATATCCCTCAAGAGCATTGGGCGACTTCATGTGGTTTGGGTGGCTGCCACTATGATGCTTTGACATCAAACCACACAGAGTCCCTCTACAATGAATTGGGTTTCAGGCGTGACTTTCCCTGACCCATCTTTGTGATTTCATTCGAGAGCTCTTACAATGATAGTTTGAGCAACGAAGAGTTGTTGCCTCTCGCCTCCTATAAGTTCCGAGGTGTCGTGCCACCGCGAGTTCAGCGATGCTTCATCCAACCCGTCTTGCAAGCATCATCCACGTGGCTCGCTGACCAATTATTGACGAGAAGTACAAAGTTGCTGGGTCTACCACACAACACTCTCCTAGGGTCATTATGGAGGTGAATCTCGTAGAGCACTGATTTGATTGCGGTTGGTGGGAGGCACTACATAGCCCTTGCAGGCATGCTACCGCCGCAATGCGTGTCAAGAAAACTGACATTTATGATTATACTGAGCATTGTTTCACTGTTGCAACATTACGAGGTGCTTACAAGGAGGCCCTTTACCCACTTTGGCCTATGAAGGAGTGACCCGTTGCACCTCTCGAGGATAATATTGCACCACCCCAAACGGTGAAGATGTCTGGACGATGAAAGAAGTTGCGCATTAAGTCATCTATCAAGGGGAGCAAAGGCCAACAAAGGTCCAACAGGTGCAAGGAGTATGGGCACAAGGTAAGGAAATTAAAGGAAGTGCCCTTACCCTACAGGGAGACCACCTCGAGTCGATGACGACAACCTGTGACGAGCTCTTTTCTGATAAGCGCCATCTTCCGCGCAACTGGGATTTAGAGTACATAGAGGGGGTCGGGGATAAATTGCTTGGCAGTCCCTCGTTCTTGGTCTTTTCTCTTTTTTACCGACGTTTTTTTCTTGGTCCTTCGACAGAAGGAGGGGGGCGGTGGTTATGAACTTCGGGGTAGTTAGCCCGCGCCTTAGTGAGCGCAGGGAAACAATGTCTGCTATGCCCTTTTTCTTTCCTTTCTTTCTTTCACGACAGAAGTCCGTCTTTTTGACGCGGCAATCAGGCGGGGAATTCCTTTGGAATTTTTTATTGAGATGCGTCTGCGCGGGTTCTCAAAATTTCTTTTTGCAATTAGGACCTTAATTAGACTAGGAAATTGGGAACCTCGTAATTTTTGCCTGTAACGGCACATCACTTCCTGCCTGCGCACACTTTGCTGCACCTGGGTCTGCGCTCTGTTCCCCCCGCGCCAAAATTCCCATCTCTACTGTAATCTCTTCTTGCTCTTTCCTTGCCGACGTAGATGTAACTGTAATCTTCCCTTTCTTGATATTCCTTCCCGACGAGCTGGTGCTGAGTATGCGGGGTTGACGCGGAGCCGCGAGGGACTGTGGCACTCGGGTGAGTCTGGCTTGCATGCTCGGGCCAAGCGGAGTGACGACTCTGTATGGTGTGGAGGTACAGGGCGACGAACTGCCCGCACCAGAAAGGTGAAGAGAGAGAGAGAGAGAGAGAGAGAGAGAGAGAGAGAGAGAGAGAGAGAGAGAGAGAGAGAGAGAGAGAAAGGGAGGAACGGGGATATGGGGGAACTATGCCTTTCTTCGCACGACCGTGATGCCTCGGCCACACCCGCGCGAAAAAAAAAAACAAAAAAAAACGTTGCCTCTGAGTACTTGAGGCCCAAACGCTGAGTGCCTGAGTACCTGAGGCCAGAGGCCTACGGGTCCCTTGCTGTGAAACTTGGCAAAACGCAACATTTTTGCTGGCAAACTACAGGTTCCCGGTAAAGTTGCAACGAAACCTCTATTTTTGCAAAGGAAACTTCGAACGGACAATATTTTTGCTGCCAAACTTGGAAAAAGCAATATTTTTCTAATTAACCCTTTTTCTTTCTTTCTCATGGAACAAAGCTCCAATCCACTTGTGGGCAGCAGAACGTGCCAAGAGCAAGGCCCAACATTTGGAGAACAATATGTGATGCCGTGGTCATTCACCTGACCTCTGCGACAAATATGATGTAGAACAACCGCGCATTTCAAGACTTGCCCAGCTTTGTCTGAATTTTTGTACTGTAGGGATATACGGTGATGTGTGTAGACATTTTGTTATGTGAAAAACTTTGAAACTCATTAGGCGTCTATGAAATACAGCATTGTGGATGAGAAAGTTTGTTAATAAGAAGCTTTGACCCTTATGAGACTTTTGTGGGATCATGTCTATAGGACCTTACATAGGCATTTTCCATATTTATTACGAAAATTCCCAGATTGTTATATCTGGTGTTCTCGTTATGTTTGGCTGCTTGGCTACCAGAGTGACCGGGGATCACTTGCCTAGCCAAGCCAAAAAAAAAGATTAAAAAAAAAACAGCAATGATTTTTATTTACCTTTGGTAAAGAGTTTCAATGTCACCCTGAGGCAAAGAAGTTGAATTTTTTTTTTCTGCATAAGATTCTTCTTTTTTCGGATTTTTTTTTTTTTTTTTTCTTGGCTGGGTCCTTCCACCCAAGCAAAAAAGGTGACCTGGGGGTTCCAGCTGGTAGCACAATTTGGCTGTCGTTTTCTAGCTTGATGATAGTGTATGTTTGGTGCAGAGGGTGAGATAGAATAGTTTTATCTAGTGACACACAATGTAGCATGCTAGACCAGGCCACACCAGCCTAAAGGTCTCACTTTTTTATCTTCGGCCCCCTAGGCCGCACCCTCCTTATAATAGGCCACATGGAGGGCCACAACCAGCTTTTCAGGCCCTGCTTTGTTTTTTTATCCCATATGTTTTCTTTCTTTCAAGCTTGAGACAGCCTGCATGGACAGCCTGTCTCAACCTAGGTCCATGCAAGCTGTCTCAAGATAGCTAAAAAAAAAATAAAAAAATTGCTGAATGTGCGTGTGTGTGTGTGTGTGTGTGTGTGTGTGTGTGTGTG